TGACAATTATTCTTCTTTACAAAATTATGACGGTTATTTGCTGGTGATCACATGATAGATTTAATGACTCTCGCTCTGTTCGTTTTTAGAACTTACCGAAACGATGAGTCTCCTCTCGATGAACTTTCGATTATTTTGATACTCATTGGTATTCTTTCGAACAAGAGGGGCAATGCTAGATTGGGGACCCAGCGCAAGTATGCATCGTTTAGTTCAGTAAACACAGCGCTGCTCAGATTCACTACTAAGCTGGCAAGGAAATTCCCATCTAGCCACATCCGATGACAACATGTTTTCATGGAATGTGTAATCAGATCTCGTATTTGGTGCCACGAATCATGAATCATTCGAACAACTACTTATATAACTGTGAGTCCAGAAACAGAAACCTGAAGAATTTTTCATATGATCGATATGGTCGCAAATTGGTTGCTGTGCTGCAGGACCTGTAAATCTTAGGCTAGCCCACATTCGGAATTCGATTATTTTTCTGAGTAAATGCCTCAAGAATGAAGTCATTTCTGTAAGTTATATCGTCAAGAAGCTTCAGTATATTGGAGATTTCATTATGCATGAATGTTCAAAGAAGATGAAGAAAAGAGAGACTGTGGGACTGTTTCGATCACGGCAACATCACAAACTTTGTTGCTCTTTTGTAGAACGCGGTTACTGAACAAGAGTACCATTTAATCAAAATTAAGATTTCCAGAGATTATTTAAAAGTATTAAACGTCGTTCGTACCCTGTTGGCAGAGAAAACTAGGAGATCTGATCACACATTCCATGGAAATAACCAGTCTTCGGATGTGGCTAGATCGGAATTTTCGCCATAGCCTAGCGATGAATCTGAGCAACGTTACGTTACGGAAGTTGAACAAGATGTACTTGCGCTGGGTCCCCGATTCAGCATTTCCAATCCTACTTGCTCCGTCTCTGACACTGTGGTTGGTGTAGAGAAAAGTTTCCGTCACTCCGATGAAAGGCTGAAAGTATCAAAGAGATCATTTCGCGTTGACCTTATTGTCGCTTCGACGATTCTGTATATCAGAAACCAACACACTCCAATCGATACCTACATCCGGCGTCATATGCCCCTCCTGGATTATTTAGGAAGGTGGTGGGAAACATGCGCTTGCCAGCCCAAAAGACTTGCACTAACAGTTCAGACCTAATGGCGGAATTCCGACATCTTCAGCAAGCGTATCTACAGAACGGTTACCAAAGGAGGATCCTTGATGAAGAACTTTTGCACTCCAGCTCAAATTTTAAGTTGGTCAGTTCATAATAGACTAATGGTAATTTTGCCGTTCATACTCCAGGTATCGCAACATATCATAAGATGCCCTAATGATATGGTTTTAAGAGTCTACTACAAGACTGGCAGAACAATGGGCGATATTTTATCTAAAAAGTACATTTCCATTAATAACCCTAAAGACGTGTTATTTGTTGTCTACGAAGTTCAGTGCAAAGACTGCGAACAGTAGATGTACACTGGAAAGGCCAACCGGAAATAGAACATCAGGATAAAAGATTAAGCATATTTATAAAAGAGCAACTTGTTGCGGTCTGCCCTGGACAGGCTGACAATTCTGGTACTGCCGAACATGCGATTACTGAAGAGCATTCGTTCATTTAGACCAATGTGTCTGGTAGAAACACAGACTAATTTGAACTAGGTCTGGTGATAAAGGAATACCGCATATACTGGCAATGAAAAACCGGATATGCAACGAGTACACATATTCAGTTATCAGGAAAGCTACGGCTCACTCAAAAACCCGCACACAACATCGAGTCAAGATGACAAAGATATTAAGATCCGATTTATTTTGACGTAAAAAACACTATTTTGACAGTTTAATAACGGTTCGACAGTATGTGATGAGCCAATTGAGAAACTGGCATTGTTCGCTTGTTGGATATAAATGTTTTCAAGCAGTCATTTGTATTCAGTCCAGCCCTGATGATGTTGCGGTCTGTGCAGTGAAACGGGTTGGCATCTGCTGTTTACCATCTGCTGTATTTGGTGCCCTTAACCATGAGTCACCCAAACAACTACGATACTCTCATTCACTTCTTAATAAGTCTGATTAATGATGCTTATTTGCTTGTTAAGATAATCACTTTAATTTATCTGTGAAAGCAAAACAAACCTGGTTTGTGATGTATGCTGTGTACGTAGCTTTCAACAATTTTGTTGCAAGAGATCTGCTATAACATCATAAAAAGAATAATTCCTATATGAACTCAGACCAACTTCGACCTTATTTTTCCATTATGCGCGCGACTCCCCTGGCCGATGTTTCGACTCTCACATAAGCTAGTGGGATAGGGTAATAGGTTCACGCTTATCCATTTTGTCTAACAAGATCAACCTCATCTCTTCTTCATTACAACTAGCGAGGTTCGCGTGTCTGGAAGAGAATGATTCCTTATGAGGTTTTGTCACTACCCGCATTATGGGTCAACTCGGCTATATACAACTGAACCGTCGTTCCTGGTAGTTCGTT